CATGATTGACAGCTAGTGATTGTCACATGAAGGACTGTTACGCCCCTTGGCATTAGCCAGGGTGGCTATTTTTAGTAAGCAGGGCAGAAACAGCAGAAATCTGCCATTGACTGACTACACCACAACCCTCTGTTACCCACAGATTGAGCCACTTTTTGGCACCCTCAGTAAAGCATTTGGCTAGCAAACTGTTTGCTTCCTCTTCAGGAACACCGGTATCAGCAGGGAGCTCCCCCTGTAATACACTGAAATATTGCTTTATCCTGGGGTGCGCACCTTGCAGAGTCCTTCATCAGGGCACTGTTACCCAAGGTGACATCCCCCAAGAGAAGGCAGTTTGCTGAGATATACTGAAACCTGAGAAGCAAAATAAGGGCTACAAGAATCTAGGCCTAATTTGGGCATTGACTACAACTTAGTTTGGCTGGAGCTTGATTTGGTGCAAAATAACATTTGCAGTTTTACAGAAGCTGGAGCTAGTGCTTTATGTTATTATTGCCTGCTCTCACCACAACTTTGGCTTGTTTCTAGGTCAAACTGTCACTTCGTGCAAACAATTCAAGTGTGCCTCCAAAGACCTCTTGCAGCACAGCACCGCCGTAACCCTGCTCCTCAAGCAGGACCCACTCTCCTTTGCTTTCTGCCGTAACATGAAGCACAGTTTGTGCTTACCTTGGAGCACAGGAGGATGGGGAGCACATCACTCATCTCGTTTCTGGCAGAAGCACGCACAAAATAGTTTTTGTGATATGTAACAGTTTTTATGCATGTGTAAACAATAGCAGTATCAGGTTACTGTTCTGTACATATTCAGTATCACAAGCCTCCTCCCCCCCCCAGTATTAAAAAAACCAAAACAAACCAAAAAAAAACCACCACAGAGGAATCTTTTAAAAAGTGCCATTAGGATACAGGAGTCTTGACTTCTTAGCTTTGCCAAAAAAACCCCCACAAAATCCTAACATCATGAAATAATTTGAATCCAAAAACTTAAGCTCTGGAGAGGGCCTTTGTGATGAGATTTGTAATGAATTTACAAAAGCCAGCAAAATTGCGGGTTACAGTTTTATCACCCCCTTTCAGTGCTTCCATTCATACACCAGAGAGATTCCTTAGTGGACACAGTCATCTCTTGAATATTTTTTTTGGTAATCCCCCCGAGCTTCATTCTCCACTCTCCTTCACAGTATTTGTGAAACAAATTGCTCTCCCTACATTTACTAAACACCCTTCTTCAGTGCTATGGTAAGAATAGCAACCTTGTTGCCTGCTGCTGTCTCCTCTTCCTCTCTGGCCGTTCTTTTTTAGGGCTACCACCTCCAATTATAGTATTTGAGAATCTTACCAGTGATCAAGAGACATAGGTTCAGTTTTGAGGACTTCATCTAGTAGTGATGGGAAGTTAATTGCTTTTTATATTTAAATTGAATGATGCTTCTTTGAAAATAAGCTTCCCCTATCTCCTTTCAAATTGATCTTGCTTGCTGTAGTATGCCAGAGATTAGAGCTTGGAAAGAACCTTTTGAGAAACTAATGACACCGCTAGAAAAAAAACTGTTACCAAATTGGCTGTCAGTATTTTGCACAAGTCATGATTACTATGAACAGTCCAGTGAGTACCTATCCTAGTATCAAACTTCAGTACAGTTTTGACAGCAACGGGAATTATTTTAGTATTTAGCAGCTGTTTAACAATCCAGAGAGAACTAGCGATTTCACCAGAATTTGTCATAGATCAGTGCCAAGTAAAAAGCAAACCAGTCATAGGTAGCTGCAGACTTAAGACTGTAGCTGGAACCTTTAATTACTATGCCACCTAGAACAGTTATTTCTCCAGAAACAGTTTGAAGTATATGCACATACTTCTAACAGATCCACGTGGTATGTGCCAACTATATTTTGTCAACATTACTATTTCCATACTAGAGGAAGAGCTTTTAACACCATCACACCTATGCTTTAAGAAATCAATTTCAGTTAGTCCAAAGTTAGTTATGAAAATATGCTGTCTTTGTGAACTATTTTGACAGCTCTATGAAAGGCCAAGATTAACAATTCAATATACATTTTGAATTATGAACAGTAAATGAGACTGATACCTGCACATTTAATATGTAAAAATAAACTACTTCCTTGGAGAAGTTCACTGAAGAAAGAGATAGGATGCAATGATATAAACGAAGTTTGCAGATCCTAAAGGTATTTTAACGTAATTCATTTCATTAGTCAGGAGAGTAGTTTCTGTTCTGTACCAAATTTCCTTATGAGAGTTTTGAAAATAAATCTGAACAAAGTGGTCCAAGAAGGACAATCTGAAGTTGATTATCCCCAGGTTCTATCAAATAAGTGTAGGCTAGTGAGATGCTTTTCACTTGCATTTTAACATCATACTTAAGCCCATCTGCATAGATTCCATTTTATTTCTTCATTACAGATAGTAGCAACTATTTATCCTTCTAGCTCTGGTTGTAGTAGAAACCCTGAGAAGTGAAAGTTATTGTGGAGGGGAAAGATTTTTTTATTCAAAGTTCACATCTCTAAGCAGTATTGCAACATATTCTGGGAAGCAGGCAGCTATTTTCCCTGGAAGTTTTCCCAATCTGTTCTACAATGCACAAAGCACATATTTGCTCAAAGTTGCCTAGAACACAATTTACTGCTTCCCAGAATATTAGACCAAAGACCACAGTAAGGACTCTGCAACTGGTACACTGAACCTTATTGCTTTTGCTTCCCCTTCTTCCTTGCAATTTTTTTTGGAGAAAGATGTATTGCCACACCTCTTTTCCTTTCCGAATCCAGTCTTCAACAACTGATTAAAAAAAAAAATTTAAAAAATCACAGTGTGGAAGGGCTTCACATTCAGGATTCTTTCTCTAAATTATCAGATTGATCAAGATTTTGTAATTCAGAGGGAGGTAAATGGAAAACTTTCTAACAGTTCAGTACATTAAATTTACCTGGCTCACACTAATTGGAGAATGTTTTAGCTGGATTAAGGTCACAAAACGTATGTCAAAATTGTCATTTACAAATATGAACATACAACTCCAGAGCACACAGCATATCTGTTATACTGTTTAAGTTTTTCCATAGGAATAAATGTACATCCTTTCACATACCAGATGACCTAAATCTGTGACTGAAAGTAACAACAAGCCTAACATACAAACCATTAAGTGTATTTAAGTTTTCAGAAGTTAACTTTACTCTTTCACAGTCTTCCCAACAGTTTTTATAGACTGTTAATTTACTGTAACACTATTCACCACCAATACCTATAGACATTAAAGTTACTTCAGCTGAAGACTCTTTGAAAGCCCTTGTCATACTTAACTGAGATCTTACAAGATGGAATACATTATCTAAGTTTTTAATAGCAAAAATATTTAAGTGACTTGCCAAAACAATTTATGACTGGCAAAAACATCAGGCACACTGATATATGCATTATGCAGCATGCATTTTCACACCAGTAAAACAGAGCTTCAGGGAAAAACATCTCTAAAACGTACATTACTCCTGGTATACTTTTACGGTTACAATGCTAACAGAGATAATGAGCCATCATTTTACATATAAAATAACTGAAACATTTGTCATCTTTCAAATATTTTATTTTAGTACTTTTAAATATGTTTTAATACAACAAAGATATAAAACAATATATTAATTCAATCTAAGTTTAGAATCAAAACAATATTTACTTACTTACAGTACTCACTTCAAACTTCACTGGCATACCTTCTAGCCATTAGGTAATACTATTTTCTCTGTCAGAACCAAACTGAAGTAATGTCCAGTGTGAAAAGCCATGTTTCTACATCCCTATTAAGTACCATGTACGATGCAGTTTGTGGTTTCTCACATTTGACAATTTTCTCATATTTGACAAAACTAAATTGAAAGAGCAAAACTAAGTTACAGTCTTTCTAACTACACAGTCACCGGGCTAACAGGTCAGGTTATTGTGCTCCACATTCATCATCTTGAGTTCTTACACACCTACTACAAACTGGCTTTAAAAATGTGCATGTCACAATAATGTACATAATACTCACTGCAAATGTCTTAAATACAAATCGTAAGTATGCAGGACACTGCTATACAGAAACTTCAGTGTTCATAATATTATGGTGTTTGAGATGTTGTGAAGGGGATTTTTTTTTTCCACATTTTTCTTCATATAATGAAGAAGACATCAGTAGGTTCACTCCAAAGGACTGCCCCCCCTCCCCAACATACTATTTCAATTAGAATAGTGACAATGTCAAAGATACATCAGAAATAGTAATCTGTATGAACCATCAGTGGTCTACCAATTAACCCTTGATTGATAAAAGTCTACAAGCACAAAACAATTCAGAGGGTAAGCTGGCTCACTGCTAGGACTTCTGCCAAATACACTTCCATCTTGACAAGACTATGATGGTTTTTGTAGTTACAGGTCAATTTTCTATAACAGTATCCTAGATTATTAAAAAAAACAAACAGAAAAAATCAGTATTGTATATAGATTACTGCAAATCCTCCCCAACTCTTCAGCAGAAACTACCTGGACAGGATGAAAAACTATCATAGTTGTTACAGGTTACTGTTGTTCTACTCCAGGTTCACAAGCCTACTTTTTTTTTCCTAAGATATCTGCTATTTCTTCAAATGCATATTTAATGATTAAGACTCAGCTCCACAGTAGTTTTGGTGCTTGAAAACCTAGTGGACTTTCATACATCAAAAAACTAGCTAAATAGTAATGAACAAGTGTAGCACTACGTATGCAAGTACTGCTTAAAAAACCCAAGAAGATATTAACTGTTGGTCTGAGTTCAACACTTCCCTCTTTCCCTTCAATAATCTTTTTGGCACTACATGACACACAGCCGTACAGAAAAGAAGATTATAGGAACCTGTGCTTTTATCCTCATTGAAGGGTTTCAATACTTCTAAATAACCTTAACATGATTGCCATCAAAAAATAACTTTTTTTTTTCTCTAAATCATTTAACTGACTCTTTCTTCTTAAAGCAGATAAGTATTGAGGTTTTATTTCAATGCATTTTTTGTACTGATTTTTTCTCTCAGAACCCAGTTAAGTAGTAATTTCTTTAAAATTCTACTGGAATGTTTCCTTCTATAGTAGTGGGGGGGCCGGGGTGGGGTGGGGGCAGATATCAGGCAAAACCAAAAACATAGTGACATTACCTGTTCTCATTACTGTATCAGTATACCACGCACAGCATGCACTTGGCCTTATCCCAGAAAACGCTTAAACTAAAATGGTAACCCCTCACTGAAGTGAAGAGGATTTAGTGATTTGCTTAAAAGTTAAGCACATCATTTGCTTCATCACAATTAGTATACTTAGAGGATCCATTTCTTGCTAGTCTCGGACATTTAAATACTTCAGGCTTCTCTACATTTCTGTACCAACACTTTGTATAAGTGTTATCTTGTTTGCCAGAGTACATGAAGATAATTTGCGTATATGGAAGCTTTCTCTATCATTATTCAAGAACAGCTGGAGGAACCTTGCTTAAGGATCCTTCCCTAAGTTTTTGTCAGTGTAATCAGAAGTTGCTAAAAAAACCCCACATCTATGAAAGTTTGATTTCCGTATGCAGGTGTAATGTCATAAACCCACTAGTTTAAGGGATCTTCCAGAAAGGAAAAACTAAAGGCAAAAAGTTTAGGAAAGCTATTATAAGAAGCTATGTTATAAGGTACAACAAGAAAAAAACCCCAAAAACAAAAAAACAAAAAAAAAAAAGAGGAGGGGAATGCCTATGTGTCTACCACTTGTGCCTATGGGCATACATATCCCCAAACTGATAATAGTAAGGAAGAGCTCAAGACCACTGTCAAGTCTCAAACGTTACTGGAATTGTTAAGCTACCAAAAAAATGTGACCTTCCTTCCCCTTCTTTTGTATATCCAGAGTTATTCAGTTAAGACTTTCCTACTTTATTAGTTTGTGCACTTTGTAGTAGTAGACTAATGTTGTTAGACACTTGTACTTGCTGACATAACACAGTCATTCATTCATTACTCTGAATTCAGATTATGTGTGCATTCCCATGGACCACAGAAGAGGACTTGGCACAAAATAAGTGCAGCAAGTTAAAGTACAGTAAAAAGACTGGTGCATGAACATAAGAGAGAAGGACAACCCTAAACAGACTTAACATTAAATCCAAGGCCTGATGCTCTGCTGCCTTTACTTAAAAGTGCTTGTCAACAGCAGAGAAGCAGCAAAATGCTTTTAAAACACTGACTCTTTAAAAAGGAGGTACAGAATTTTAAGCCTGTCACTTACTCACAACTTGTTTCCACCTAATTAACAATAAAGTTACATTACCAACTTTACAGATTGACCTGTGCTCTTTTTCAGGTGACATCAATCTTTCTATCTTCTATCATTTTCAAGCCTTCCTCTTGCATGTTTATAGACAGACAAAATGAACTTCCAAAATAGAGGACGACAATTATCCTGACAACGTTTTAACCCACTTCAATGCTCACAAACCCAACCTCTGTATATTACTTATCTTGGACTCAGGTATATAGCATCAAGGGAAACAGCACAAAAGAACTTTTTTCCTTTAAAAAACACTGATAAGCAATGCTGATTTAAACCATGGATTTACTTAACAGAATTTGAAAAATTAAATTAGAACAAAGAGAGAAGCCTTATGTTTCAAAGTATATGAACTTCATTTGTTAAAAAAATAGTATTGAAATGATTGCTTTACTTTATGTAAACATTGTTACACTAGGCTGTACTTGAAAATTCTCCTGCAGGTCTAAGTTGCAAAATAATTTCCCAGTATAGACACAGCTATGACAGTTAGCAGTGACATGGTTCTTTTCAGAATCAACAGCTTTGCAAGTTTAATTGCATACCTCTCCACATTATAACTCAGAATACAATCCTGCACATCCTGAGATGTTTTCTAGAGTTTAAAAGAATAGCATTCATAACTGTGTGCATTGCAAAGGCAAATATAAATTAACAAATAGGGCTCTTTGATTATAAAGTCTCAAGAAGGAATGTTCAAATTGCCTTTCTGAAATCCGAAAGGTAAGAACAGCAAATGAAAAGTCTTTAAATCTTTCAGAATATTTTTCCCTTTTTCTTAAAGGTAAGCATACTCCCCCAATTTGGATGGCAAGAACCATCAGGCTATGGCAGATTGAACAATATAGTATTAAACCTGCAATTTTGCTAAAAAATTGGAATGTTATAAATATAAAAGTCTGCAGAATTGTACAATATGTGTGTGCTCAATACAGTTGGCAGAGATACTCTAAGATGCACAATTCCTCTGTGGAATAGGAGCTAAATGAAGTTACAAAAGTAATATACTACAAAGGGTGAAGAGATAGTCAAGTTAGTTCAATCCAGGTTTATAAAAAGAATACAATACAGTGAGGAGCAGCCCACAGTAGGTTACAAGCCTCCCAATACAAAACTGTCTTGCAAAATTCCAAAGGGATTCTTTTCCATACAAATCTAAGTACATTGTGACCATTAAGTCAGCTTGTACCAAGCTGGAAATGCTTCGTGTTAACTTTCCAAGGCTGACTTACGCTAGCTTTTGCACATACCACCTGTTCTGAAATTGCATTAACCAAATTAAAAGGTCTATACCATTTTTTAAGATTTGCACCTTTTACCTATCAGTTTTCATTTAGCATAAATCTAATTTCAAGTCTCTACAGCCAACATTAGTATTGTCCCCTTACAAACCACTCCGTAAGAGATCACTAACTGTGTGACCCTTGCTTATGCATTATGGACTCAAAGTGTTGGTTTGGGGTTTTGGGGGGGTGTTTTGTTGTGTGTTGGGTTTTTTTTTCTTTTTAACAACCAAAACTCAACTGCTTATGGTACTTTTATGTTTCAGTACAGTAAACGAGCAACTTAATTTAAGAACTAGTCTCTTTTCAAACTTGTTAGAAGAACGTATACTGTGTGTGTTTATATATATATATATAAACAAATATACTGTGTATATATATCCAGAGATACTCACCATATTGTTGACACCAGAGTGCTAAAACATACATCAATATGAGCACTATTTCCAATACTCACTATTATTACTTTTCCTGAAATAGTCACTACATGCATTTTCCCCATCCATTTATGGGACAGTAAGATTATATGAAGATAACTGTTCTGTCTTTCCAATGTTAAAGAGCTGCTCCTAAAAAACATGCACAGGTTTGGGTATAAAGCAATTAAAACCACACAAAAGTTATTTTGTGGCTTTAAACTCACTAAAGCTAAATTAACTTTACTTTCAGTGGGTGTAGCATTTACTTTAACTCATTTATTTAAACACAAAAGGGAAAACTTCCAAGTGCTAGAACAACCATATAGACAACTGATAGACTAGACTAAATAAGCTCTCTTTAAAAAAAACATCATCACCGCATAGCCACAAGGCAGACTTTCATTTTTGGCAACCTGTGTGCAGACCATTCATACTGTCAATTATACTTTAAGACTTGATATTTAACAGTTAAGAGACCCTTTTAGCAAGGAACTATACTGCTTTCTTCAGTATGACACAGTACTCCTCAATCTTTAAGTATACACAAAATTTGTTCTGAAAATTACATTTATGACTGTTGTTAAAGAAAGTCTTCATAAAGTTCTAATTTTTTAGTCAGTATATGTAAAGGCTGGCATGTCAGGTAACAGAGATTATTTGGACCTGTAAATTGTATATTATATTCAGTACAAGCACGTATTTGAGGTTAAAGTTACATAAACATTCACATAGAACTTTACTAAGGGTAACATTATTCTGGTTTATATTCATGGTTCACTGATAGCCTTTACCGGCCCCTGCACTGTTTTCTATTTTAGCAACAAGAAAACAAAACACATCCCCGTGAAGTATGGGAACCCCATTTTATGGCTAAGAATCTAAGAAACAAGACAAGGAGGAGATGATCATGGAGTGAAAAGCATTACTTTACATCCCCCCTTCAGCTAGCCTTGTAGGATCTTAGTCATAACGATTCATAAAGATCTGAATTGACCCACACTCTTCAGCCAATCAATCTTTTCAGTATAGTAGGTTTTGAAAAGGGCCAGCAATACTCATTGGGAACAGTACCATTAACATTGCATTCAAAAAAAGAGAACATTGGAAACCAGATCCTTGCTCTCCTACTCTGCTGATATGCTCTAGTATTAGCCAACGTATGGTAATACAAAAAGAGTCTTGTAGTGATGTAAAAGGCAATGAAGACATCTATAGAATAATGTTCATGTGCAGCCAAAATGAAGAAGATTCCAAAGAGATTCAGCACCCAGGACAAGGTGTGCAAGAAGTTCCAGCTTCTTGGCGTATCTAGGAGAAAACAGAAAGCAACCAAACTTGAATGTCTCAAAAATCTGGGTCATTACAAAATCCAGGTCTAGACATTGCAGGTTTTTACACAGATTTTTTCATTCAAAAATGTGATGAAGTTATTGTCTTCATCTGGAAATATTGTTTACATCTACAGGTCCAATAAATCCAACGAAAACAACCACACAAGTTATAAATGTCTACAACTTCATGACTTCATTTACAAATACAACTATTATGCATTTCTGGATTAACGGAGCATCCTAAAATGGTTTAGGACCATGCAAAGCAGAATTCTTTGTTCAACCAACTTCTTTTAATGAAAATCATGCCTTTTCCATGTAATAAAGGGGAAAATGTCATAAAGCATATGTTACTCTGTTATTGCAGTCAATAACAGAGAGGTGAACTCAAACTAATTATCTTAGCTTGCTATATACTGTATCAAATCACACTTTGTATTTCTAGAAGAGCACTGTTGTTTCATATATTCTCACTCATTATGAGGTTTGGTATTTTGGCTTTATGGATTATATTAAACATACAGCCACCTGGCCAGGTATTTTGCCTGACAGGGGTCAGCGGCAGTGTGCTGGTTTTGGCATACATAGGGAAGTATACAGGAACAGACAATCGCAAGTATTTTCCCTATTATTCTCCCCGTAGCAAGCTACAAAGCCTTTCTAATTTTCTTGGCTCATGTGTTCTTTCAGGTGTGCCCTATCCATCCTTCCATTAATCTAGGTGGTGCTGCTCCTTTCCTGTCTGCAGGTGAACTGTCACAAACCTGAGAAAGAGCACAGCAATCTGCATTTATGTTTGCTTAAATGTTACACTCTGAACTTTTTGAGGAGGTCAAGCAGCAGATACTCTTAATACTTGAGAACATTTAAGCATTTACACTCTTGCAGCCTTGGTTGACAGCAAGCAGTACATACTCTTAACACTTAAAAGACATTTAAGTATTGGCACTCTGTACTTACATTCTGTGACAAAGAAGTTGAGCATGGTCAGGACGACAGTGTGGCCACTGAACATATAATCTCCACATGTATGTACTCCAGTCAGAGTCATTCCAAAGCCACTCCATATTGCAAAGGCCCGCTGGAGTTTTGCCCAAACATTGCCATACAACTAGAAGACAGTAACATTAACCTTTAGTAAGTTCCAACCCCACTGCCTGAACAGTATGTCCTTAAAGTTAGCTGTATAGCACTAGGTATGTTTAATACCATTTATCGTGTTGGGTCTTTTATTAAAATGTAGGTTAGCACATCTTTGGATTTTATTGTGGCAGTGAGTCACATTAGTAACTAGAAACTGTATTCCTCATACCTCTGATGAATACTGGAATTTAGAGCAAGTATTTTGTTGCAAGAGATTTACATACAGAGTCTGCCACCTTTTTTTGAATATATTCAACCTCCCAGTGTGTCACTGTCAAGCTTCCAATATGTTCAGCTCAAACTTCTTCTAACTAGAAGTTAGGATAAAACCAGAAAATCCCATGTTCTATGTAATACCACTTATTAGAAGAGGTGAAATAATAACAGTTGGGCTTTTTTTCAAAACCACACATCCAACAAGACAAAGAAGCGATTACTCCACTTTCAGCCTTTCTTCATTAAATCAGTATCTCAAGTGCACACTTCTCTGATGTATTCTCTCTGGTTTACATTGTGAACTATTCTGCACACCATTCCCCAACTAACTATCTCCTCTCCAAAGTGGCAAGTGCTTCTAAGACCCCTAAGGGTGCTTGCCTGCATAATGGCAATTAATGAAGTGTCATGGAGGGGAATAGGAGAGAAATAACACTGCTCTTGCAAACACACATTTATCATTATGGTCACAACAACCTTAATCATATCTTAAATTAAATTTAAAAAAAGCAAACAAGAAAAAACATTTAATGCATTTTAAGTTTTTACCTTTCCAGTACACTGCAAGTGCTGGCCTGGCACAGAGAGTGAGGTAACAAACATTGTAACGCAACGTAATAAGAATACTGTCCCCATGAGACTGCACAGCCTTCGCAGAAGTATAGATCTGGGAAAAGTACATAGGAACTGATTGCAAGAATCCTAATATAAGGTATTTTTAAATCAGGAAAGTTATGATAAAAACATTTCCCCACACTCCAACTTAATCCCATGAAGTCCCTTCACCATTGCTGCAAGTTTCACAGTAAAATAATTATTTATTTATTTTAAAGTAGTACTGTAAAAGTATGGTTCCCCATGACAGGGTGAGACGCTGCAGCAAGCTTACTGTCACCAAAAGGTACAGCTCCACTCCTCTGCAGCTACATTGGTACTAGCTTTGGCATTCACACCTTCTGTTGGCAAACTGATAAAAAAAAAAATCAACAAACTGGTAAAAATGTAACTTAAAATACACAGGTATGCAAATGGGTTCTCTACTCTTCAGTGACAGCAAGCTGCTAGGCCGGCTCAGTCATCCTGTGGAATTTCATTCTCGTAGGATTTTGTTATATACAAAATTGTTACGGTATGAGAGATATACTGACATCTCTCTGAAATACCTATGTTCTGAAGGAAATGACATATAAATCTGGTAGAAAAGTAAATTCAGATTACTCCTTTGTAAGATTCACAAGTCACTGTTCTTGATTAAATCCTCCCTAATCCATTTTAACAGGGGCATATTAGAAGCTTACAAGATTCTTATTGACTGGAAAGTCTTAAACAATCATCATAAATTCTTGTTACAGTCCTTTCTCTCAATCAAAGTACCAGTTAATTTCAATTTTATATACCATACCTGTGTTTGTGAAGCAGAAGAACCAACAGCCAAATATAGCAAAGAATTACACCACATACTTCAGTCATAGCAAAAGCCCATGGTATCCTAGGGACACTATAAAAAAGGATGAAGCAATAAAGTTAACTTACAATACAAAGGCTTAATTTTTCTTTTTAGTCTCAGTATTGAGAATAAAGGCATATGAAGTTCTATCTACAAAAGTAACTCTGACAATAGTTTAAACTAAAGCCAAAAATTATTTTGTTAGACTGAATTAAATAGAATTTTAATTAATTTTGAATTACATTATCTCCTTTCTAATAATGTATTTTCAGCAGACATTTACACAGAATTCACTAAGTCAAAGAAAATCCCTAGCATGCTCTCTTAATTTAAGTGTGATTTCCTAACAGGATGTGTTCCTCTACCATTGTTTCCCAACAACCTTTTTCATTCTGACACAAACTTGCATCACGTCAATTATGCTGCTTATGCTTATAAGAATGCCATGTCAACACAATTAATGAAATGCTACAAAGCCTAAAACCCTAAATACTTGTAATGAAGCAGAATTGCACAGAAAAGCATTAGGGAAAGTAAAAAATGTTTTCAAAGTTAGATTTCAGTGATAATCACTATATGCAAACCTTTTAGCCTTGCTTGGCAAAAGATTTAAGACTTTCCTGCACACATATGGCACCAGTAACAATTTCCACTCTGCAATTTCACCAAAATACAGATTGACGGATTTCAAGAGAGGCTGCTTCTCATAGTTTTGTGTTCCCCCTGATACAAAGTTGTAGCAAAGTGCTGCTCAAATGCTAGCGTTGTAGTAGTCCCCTTGCATTGTTTTGTGAGCTGCTGCTTTCTGACCTCCCCCATCCTCCTGCCCACTGAATACCATGGTAAGTCCCTGGGAACAAAATCCAGTAATGCCATAGCTCCCGTTCTCTCTCACCTCTTCCACTCTGCTCAACATGGTCCATCGTTGCTGAGTTATATCTAAACTTATGGGGGAGTCTGCACAGTTACTCAAAAGAGTAGACTCCTACTGACTTCACAAAAACAGAAATTACTGGCAGGAATAAGGAGATCACAAAGACTGAACTCTTTCTTAAACAGTTTATCTTGTCTTTTAAAACTCTCTAGGCAGTTAAGTTCTCCAAAAGGGAGCATTTACTCTCTGTTAAATCTGTAGTCAATGACCAGAATTTCACCTTTGCTATTGTGTCTCTTTTCTGCCTGAAGTGGAATATTTTCTACAAAAAATGAGCAGGTATTGCGTAAGTCACAACAGTGTTTTGGTACATAGAAACTCTATGATTAAAAAAGATGCTGGTCTATTCAGTCCACTTCAGAGTTTCCCTAAAGTATCTTCAACAAGTTGACAGTGGGGAGACAGCAAAAACGCAGTATCAATGCTACTCCCTCTCAATTTCCTTGCTCAATGGCAGACCAAAATATTCCTTCATCAAAAGTTTTTCTATATCAAGACACATTAAGCTTCACAGCAGCATCTAGATTTCAGAAATGCATACGGCTGCTTACCTATGCCAGCTGACCATCATCCTTTTTAGTAGAATGAGAGGATGGATTAATTAATTCCTGTGTTGTGATTAGCTAAAGATGTAGAATGAGGTGTAAACGGGGTAGAACAACAGCTCAATTTATTTTCCTGAGAAGACTAAATCTCTGCATCTAACTGATGTATATTTCAATCTTAGCAGAAGGGTTTACTACATTCTAATTACTATTTTGCAGAGGCATCTTCAAGAGCATATGAAATTTTGAGAATGAAGAAAAGACAGCCTATACTTTAACCATCAAGTTACTATTTTGTTGTAAAAGAAAATTTCTTACCTATCTAGAAATATGTCTGGTAGAGGTGGATATGTTTGCATGTCAGGTACTCGCTCATGTACGATAACCATAACGAACGATGTAAAGCCAAACACTATGAAGACATACACACAACTTAAAACTGTCTTCCAATACTCTGGGTCCAGTCTTCGAGTAGAGTGTTTGTTTTTTCCATTTGCATATTGGTACTGATCACCATTCAGGTCAGTAATTGGTCCATCATAGTCCCGAGGTACTTCACCATTACAAAACCAATCTGTACCCTGTAGTGAACCAACACTTGGGCATGCTGTGCCAACATGACTATCACTGTTGTAACCCAGCTCTTCTAGGACATCAATATGTTGCTTCTGTAGTTTGCGTATGGACAACATTAGCCTTTTGATATCCCCCAGGACTTTGATTTCCAAAGGAGGGGATCGTAAATCATACTCAGTAAGTGTCAGCAGCGTAATTCCATCTAGCCTGTGTCTATTGCACAAAACATCCACATATTCACAGAAGCCTTCTTCCTTCAGCCACTTGGCCACGTTCTTGGTAGTCCAACGCCGAATGCAAAGCTGGTTATTGCCTGCCATCATCCTTCTCTATCCACCAATAAAATTGACCTGTTACATATTGGAGAAAGAGACAAGACCTGAATGTCTAACGACTCTTACTGAAATGCCAGTGTATTTTGTGCTATTTTAGATGCTTAATTAGCCAAAGGCTTTTTATATAATAGCCAGCTAAAAACAAGACATATAATTTATTAGGTAAGTAATATAAAAATGCTTTAAAAGCATTTTTTATTCAAGCAAACTAAATTAAGATTATCTCATTTGTTTCCGAATAGAAATTTAAAGCTACCAAGAAGCAGAATTACTTCCTAGATGTACCCAGTCTACTTTTATTCTTTTGTTAAATAAATAAATAAATCCCGGTTTGTTAATTACACTAAGCGATGAAAAACAAAGATTACTGTTTAAATACCAGCTTAATCAGTAGCCTTTTTCACTGCTTGCACTTCACAAACTAAACAAGAAAGCATAGCCAGCAGCCATATAAAACTGAATTAAAGCCAAAATAATAGATTACAGATCCAATACATTCCACTGTTTTAAAATATATACTGAAGCTTGGCATGACATTCCCCCCCCCCCCAAGTAAACCTAAGACTAGGTATTTACAATAATACTGACCTGAGGCATCTTAGTTGTATGTTGATAGTGCAGCCATCATATTTCTATCTTTGTTTGATCTCAGTAATTAAGATAGATGCTTATTATATTGCAAATCCTTCAAAATATTCAGCTTTCAAAATAACATTACCAGAAATTAAGCATTAGCTTTAACTCCAAAGCATCTTCAAAAGTGATGTGGTAATAAATAGCATAACAACACACCAAAACCAGAAAATATGTATTCTCTTAACACAGATTTCTCAATAGTTTTCTTGATTCTAGAATATTGTTTGAAGGAAGGCCAGACATCTCAGCCACATTTTAGTCACATGGAGATGACAAGTCACCAGAACAACTTACAACAACAACCAGAAAAAAATTAACCACAGAATGTTATGTGGAATACAGGAAAAAACTTTGTAAGCCTACCACTGATGTAAAAGTAATAAAAAGCTTATCCAATATTTAAGACAGAATGGATTTGTGCATAATTTATATTTGGTGGCTTATGTAGAGCCACCATCTAAGAAACAGCTACAATTTCACAGCTCCTCTGTACTTGAAAAAAACAGTCTAATTAACTAGAATGCTTCTATCATGCCAACCAAATCTCAGAAAATACACGACAGTACAATACACTAGTGCCACATACATCATTCAAGGTTTTCAGAATGAAAGCAAGGAAACAGTCTATTTAATCTATTATTTAGCTTCTGTATACAGTGAACAGGTACTCAAACCCATCATGAATATTCAGCACAGTTCTACATCTTTTTCAGGGGCACAGCTCTTCCAAAAACAGAAGCTCTTCCCTTCTCACTTCTTTTAAAGAGATACAGTACTTATTGTTAGAAGTAGCTCTTATCGTAATTATTGGATGCAACTTTTTCTTCCAGCATACATCTAACAGGACCACACGCTATTTTATTGTATATCAGAGAAGATTCAATTTGTCCAACGAGATTTCCCAGCAGTGCAAAAGAAATAGTTCAGAAGAAAAATGAGCGCACATATTAAAGTTGCCCTTCTAAAAGAACTAAGGGAGTGGTACTTCTGAAGATATTCTCTCTGGAGTTGACTGTGTATTAACAACATGTACTTAACGCAAAGTTTTAATTTCTCAAAAGTCCATTTAATTTTTAATTCATGATCGGTTAATTGACCTTTTTCATACTACGTATTTTTATCTTACTCCAGTAGAACAAACAAACTGGAGTTGCTTATCTGGACTTCCAGCTTTCCTTACTCAGAAACACAGATGAAATACTGAAAAAAATTGGTAATCACTGTTTTTTGTAACACTGTAATCATCACAAGTTTTCTAAAAGCAGTGAATTTAGACTCACCAAAAATACACTCAGCTTACTAATTTGTCTTCTAACCAAAGCAACTTCTGAGGGCAAAACCATGAAACTCTCCCTAAGCTACAAGAATTCTACTCATTTGTCACAAGTCAAGTAGGCTAACACCAGCCTAGTGTTTCTTCATCTGGCATTGCAGGAATAAAAATCAACCCTTACCAAAGGTTCAATAAAGGTAACCTTAAAACACTGAGTAAGCATACCCATCAAAGGTCACTACTGAATGGGCTGGACCTGGGAGAAAGTCTACATTAACCTTAAGATGCACCTGATAGGACCAGCTCCCCTTTTTAAATGCTGTCAAAGACAAGACATTTAACCAACTCAAAAAGACAGAGAAATCAACAAAAGAAACAAACACTTAAACAAAACAAACTTAACCATTCCACACAGCTGGTAGCTGATTTCATCTCAACAGCAACAGTTAAGTTCAGTTTTGATGACAAGGCAATTTCTTTAAACTCAGAAACTGCCTTCTCCTTCAGACTACTCATTTAGTGCCACTTTTGTAGTTTAAAGGGTAAAAACCACTTAAACCTAATAATATTAGCACCTGGAATACAATGCAGATCTCTGTGCCCAACTGCTCCTGTTAATTTTTTGAAGCTTAAGAATGCTACATAACATTTCCAACATTACCAGTCTGCAACACAAGACTGACTAACATAGCGGAAAGAGACCAAGTCACCTAGATAACTGTACTGCTCTTCTGAAAGAAAACAGCACTGGTAACTACTTTGCCTTCTACATTACTGGTTTTATCACTAAAACCAAATAATGGATAACATTATTTAATGATGAATAACATGCATGAGTAACACAGAGCAAGAACAGACTTAAGCGTCAGAGGGCAAAATACACTTTTTGCCTGACATCAGCAATGTCTGTAGCTAGCTAGTTGATTACTTTCCTGCTACCGTGACTTTATACTTAGTCAGCTCATCAGCTCCAAGTATCATGTGTCCTGTTTCCCTTTTTCCTTCCCCAGCCTTTCAATTAACAGCATGAACACAACTGAATATGAACTTCATGCGCATGTGTAGAAGTCCTAATTTTTTTAAAAAGAAAAAAGTTATGAGCCATGAACATTTCTACAATTTGGTTAGGGCATTTTAAGAAATGAGGTGCCTCTGAGAGGCTGAGTATACCCTAGCTGTTAGCACAATGTTTTTCCTAGATGTGCATTTAAATATGGAAAATTAATCTCTCTCAAAATGATTATGCACAATTCTATCATGTTTTCCTCTACTGAATTACTGCCAGTCAACCAAGTCCCTAGCTTTCCTAGCATACTGACTTCGAGTCAGTACATTGAGATAAAAATGTGGAAAGTTGAATATGATAATCATGACTCTAGCCAAGGAAAAGTAGCATTAATATCACACTAACTTTAGGCTGCGGTCTTGTTACAGAAACAAAACTTGATTACACCAGAATCATAGCTGAAGGGTTAAATAAGATCCTAGTTACATCTGCTGCAGTTAGCAGAATGCTGACTGGATTTGTTTATTCCAGACACACATGCAAAACTCTACCAGCACCATTACTGCTTCACCACCTGCCCTCTCATGTGCCTGCTGACATTCCTCTTGATTTTTTTTTTTTCCCCAGTTAGGTCCAAATCTCACCATCCTTGAGAGGAATTTTAGGAAGGACACCAAAGAACTATTGGATCCAAGTGATTTAACCTACATTTCTTTGTGGAAGGTTTCAAGCTGAAGTTCAAATATAGGCAATTTCAATTCAGCCCCTCCTTTGCTGGGTCCGCTGGCCTAGAAGCATGACATCTCACACCATGGGGGAAAAGTTTTTCTGTACAAAGGCTGCTGGTTCACAATGCGGACAAAGGTTTGAGGCCTTGGCTCCCCAGCACAAAAAAAAGCCATACACAAAAACGTGCACTGAGCCAGCCTGCAATAATAAGGCTACTGTCACATACCAACTTAGTAATGTTGTGCTGGAAAAAGAACATACAGCATTGCCTTGTTATGCATCAAGTGTCTCGGATACTCTGCTGACTTGCATCAGAAGCTTGTCACTTGCTCTTCCCGAAAACTCTAAATTCTTCAGTGCTTATTTAAAGCAAATAGCACCAAAGGTTTCATTGCCATATAGTATACAGTGACTTAATCCTTACCTTCTAAATGCCACAAGATATAGTACAATATCTTGTTAAACAAAAGGAGAAAAAGAACACTTCCAAAAACAATACATGGTTTTTCAAGGGGTTTTTAATACAATAGCTACCATGCTATATATAAAACTGATCAAACATAGCAAAACGCCCACTGTGAGACCGGAAAATTGGATAAGTATTTTCTTGAAGCAAGCATATAATAACTTCAAATGCAAAATATTCCTGTAAAACTTGCATTCAGTTTGACTTAGTGAATTTGCTATCAGAGTTGTTTCATAAACATTTCTAGTATGGGAGATTATCAGCAGTATTTTAACTGTACTCAAAGGTCTTAGTGCTATTTATGAAGGTAAGGTAAGGTAAGAAATCTCATTAAAAGTAACACTTGTTTAGTTTATTGTACATCTTAGGTTTTAAACCATCAAGGAAGATGTGCCTTTCAAGAATTATTCATTGCAGTGCTGCATTGTGGAAAATACAGAACTGATACTGTAAAATCAAAAATTAGTTCCATACGTTTAGAAGAGTCTTTCTGTTGGAATGCCTCCATGCAAAACTGTCAACAGCTACTACAGAAAGTCCTGAAAGCTCAACATATTTGCCTTAAGAACCACTAAGTGCAGTTACATGTTACAGCAAACCGAATAGAATACATACTGCTCCCTGACTTTTACACCTCATTAAACCAAATGGGTTGTACTATACTCAAGTGAACCCTAAGAGCAGCTCAAGTCCTAATGTACTAACCAGCTAACAAAACACTTTTTTTATCCTACCACCGTAATTCAAGGCACACACAAGTGATTTTTAAACAACTGATCAAGTACGCCACCACTTATCTTAGGATGTAATTCACAGTATTTCATTAATATTTGTACAAGATCTCAAACATTTCATGTGCTAAATATAGAGTGTCAAGTATTTTTTCCTCCAACTTCAAGAACTAGTATATCCATCTCATAACAGAATGTTTGCTGCTCTTTATCCTTATACAACTTAGCAGTAAAACAATTTAGGTTTGCTTCTCCCCTTTTCTTTCTTTCTTTTCTTCCCAAACCCCCCATCTTAGGATGGAAATAAGGGAAGACATGAACAAACTCCCCACCCAAATTAATACCAGAACAATATCTGAAGTGACACTGTGTTTGTTCTTACTCTCCATAATCATTTACAATCTGATCTTTCTGGTCTAGTGAAAATCTAGGAGCCTTCCTCATTTTAGATGCATTAACATAAATAAGAAATAAAAAAAATTTTTAAAAGTTATGTGATTATCAAATAAACATTTATAATGTAATACGGCTTATGGACCTCAACCAGCTTAGCGGGCTGCAAAACTGAGCTCTGTACAAGGAAAAGTGATAGTACAGAGCCTGAGAGATTGCAACTCCTAGGCCAAGCTGTGTTTTTAATTGTGTACTACCCCCAAAAAACCCCAAACCACCAGCCAGCAAAAAGAAGATCACGTAGAGTAGCAAAGAAGATAATTTAAAATTCTTGCTCTTTACAAATCTACAGAATGTTTCCTTCACATCTAAGTAGCATTTCTACAATAAAAACTTAATGAAACTTCCCAAAGAGTTTCCCTCCACTGGGTATAAAAATCACTTTGCCCCAATTCTGCGAGTTAATTCCACCTTTTTTCTGTATCACAGAAAGCAAAAGGAAGAACAAGACCACAGGAATTTCCTTACCTCTGATACCTCGCAAGAGGCACTCCCTACCAAACATGAGGGGCATTTAAATGCCAGGAAATGTCTTGCTGAGTTCTTGCCACTCCCGAGCGCAGCATGATCAGCTGCTCTGTGGAGGTGGCACAGACACCGTGTCCAGCTGCACGAGGGAGCTCTGTGGAGATGGAGCATACTTTGGGCAAGTGGAATCTTCCATCAGGTCACCTTACAACCCAGAACGTGTATTGGGTTTTCGCAAGATGAATTTTGCAAACTGAAGCATCAAATACAAAACCATGAGACCACTTCAGCTCCAGTTACAATCCAATAAATATGTGAACATTAGAACTGCCTCTCATTTGCCTCTTCTTCCATTAACTTACAGACCTGAAAAAAACCTACCCTTTTGAAGTATTATTTTTAAAAATAGCAATCAGCAATCATTAAGTGAATAGTCCGAGAGGCCACCTAATGCATTAACAACGTAGATTTGACAGACAAAGTGGATAACAATTCTTGCAGAGTTTCAACTTTCTCAACATGCTCAGGCCTTAAACTCACACAGAATCTGTCCCACACGGGCAGACTCCTCCATTTAATCCTGAAACTCGAACAGCACGTGTGCAAACCAGTAACAGCATTCTTCCATGCTGCCTTGTTAATTACCAAATCCTACACGCTCAAAAACTTTTTTACTCAAAACTAAACACTTTGCCCACCAATTTTACACCATCGACAGAGAAAACAGCAAGATAGCGAAATACCCGCTTTGACCTGCTACGGCTGTTTTGTTACCTAACCGCGGGGCTGACACAAAGCATCATTTCCAGAAACGACTTGCTTCCTGCGCAGGCTGATACAGGAATGAGAAACCAAACGATCTCCCTCTCCTCCCAGACCCGCTACAACAAAAAAGCACGCTCCCAGCACGCCCCCGACACCCCTGCTGCTGGAACGGTTCCCGCTGAGCGCACCGCGGGCCCCGCCGCCTCCCCGACAAACCCTCCCGTTCACACCCCGGCTCCTAACGAGGCTTTTTTTTTCCCCTCGGCGATCGCTGCTGAAGCGGCAAACTTACAAAGTTCAGAGCGAAACCGGCGGGACCAGGCGCGAAGACTAAACCACTTCGTCCTCTCCACGGCAGACGAACGAACTTGGGCGAAAAACAGGCGTGATTTTTAGTTTCCTGGCAGACCGGTTTCCTCAAAAGCCGGCACCCGCAGCCCGCGGGTACGCCGCCGACAGCCTGCCAACACGGGGTGGCGGTCGGACCTCGGGACAGACGTCTCCGCGAGAGACACGCGCGTTAATTACGGCGGAGCGGATCTTCGTGCAAACAGACGACACCAGAGGCTTCCCACCCCCTGCGGCAGATGAAGCCGCCCTCCCCCGACGCGGCCGCCGGAGGGAAGCGGACCCTTCCCTCCCGACCCCCGCGGAGCCC